GGCAGCGCTGGGAGGGAGGCGGGAGCACCGCCGCCTCGCAGGTGGACCAAGTGGACCCGACCCGGTCCGGACCGCCTGGGACAGTCACGTGCGTACCGGGCCCCTTGGAGATGGTACTGGGGGGCGCAGAGCCGCTCATTGGCAATGCCGAGGATACGCGATTCGTTTTTATTTGGCATTTTAAGGTGCCTGCAGTTAGGGTGCATGTGCTGGTCATTTCGTGATATACATGGCAGCGTGTTTTTCTTAGTGGTTTAATTTCCTAAATCGTTTATCTGGGAAGCGGTGGCTTGTCGGCGGGAAGAAATGGGCTCGGGGGAAGTTACCTGGTCCTGCTGCCTGCGGAGCCGCGGAGAGGGCCAGCGCGGTGAAAGGTGGGGCGAACCGGGAAGGGAAAGTGGACAACTGCGTCTCCAGGTCTGTCGGCAGACCCTAGCTTTTACGGAAACCTGACGTGTCCCGGCCCCTTTGTGTGCCAGCTCTCCATTAAGCTCCACATCTGCCCTGTTTTTATCCCAGTTTTATAAGAGAATGCTGCACTTTTTTGAGAGAGCGGGTTTTGCTATGTAGGGTGCTTGCGCTGGCTGGAGAGAGAGAGAGCGCGGGAAATCAGCCAGTCTCCAGGCGGGCTGGAACGCCAGTCTCTTTTCTTCCATTCACTTCTTGGGATTCGGGGCATGCAAGCACACGTGGCATGAGCTTCTAAAGCTGGGACTTGAGCAGTGATTGGCCACGTGTCAGTTGGCGGAGAATGCTGCTTTTCAAAGACGTCTGCTGGGGCTGTGCCATGCCCTAGTGGTTAAGGGAGGGGGACCCCACATAGTCAGTGGTGGGGTGCCCTTGGCAATCTGAAAAACAAGCCAGCCTGGTGCTGCAGCCCCAGGTCCTGACAGGATGGAGAAGTGGAAAATGACTAGGGTGTGACCAGGCCCTTGCAGGGTGCCTTCTCCTTCACCCTCTTTCTCTGTCTCACTGGCCAGTGTAGTTGCCTTCCGGCTCAGCTTTAAAGAAAAAGGAAAGAAAGCAATTAACTGGCCTGCCCAAGGTCAGACTGTGCCCAGGGTTCTGAGAGGATAACGAGTAAAGCAAGGCGCCCTGACTCCGCAACTTCCACTTTTATCACCGTTGCCGCCACCTCTGACTTCAGGATCCTCTCAGGATCCTGAGACCATATGCACATGTGCCAGCAGAAATCTGCAGGGAGGGATGTGTTCTATTCGGATATGCAGGCGTGAAGATAAATGAGTGTGCCCATAATGTGTGTGGTGTGATTGTGTTAGACGCATGAGCAAAGGCATGTGTACACGTGCTACGCACATGCTTCCTTTGTGAGCTCAGACCCTGTTCCGTGCTGTGGCACAGAAGGCAGCGTAGTGCACAGCACAGCACCATCCGTCAGAGGGCTGTTTATGGGGCCGCAACGGGAGTGCAGACAGGATCAGCCACACAACCAGATGCTGGTTAGGCCTTGCCAATACACAGGGGCCTCTAAAACTCTGGAGTGAGGGGAATGAGGAGAGGATGTTGCAAAATTTGATATGATTGGGCCAGCAGATGGCATGGTGTTTAAGGTGCTAGACTCCACATGACCAATTGCCTTGTTCGAGTCCTGGACCCGGTGGCTTAAAAATCACACCAGGTACATGTGTGTGAGTACATGCCCAAAACCCCTAGAGGAGAGTGAAGGAGAAGGGATTGCAGCATGACTAACCCTCCTGGGGGGGGAGGGGGTTGGTTTCTCACTTTCCCTCTCTCTCCATCACTCCCTGGCAAGCACATGTGCGCTAGAGCAAAAATCTAAAAAACAATTGATATGGTTTGCTATTTCAAGTCAGTAGAATTCAAGGAATTGTGGTTGTATTTGTTCCTCGTGGTTACTAGCAGACAGGTATCTATAGTCAATCAATTATGTTTGAATCTCAGTAGTTCAGTGAAGCAAAGTAATTGTGTCGCTGCCCCAGTACAGCGTGGACAAGAGCCAGTCCTGGGCTGAAACTGGACAGCATGGTAAGGACTGTGCGGATGATGCAATGTGAGGTCTTGCGCATGTTGGACTGTTGCATACTACAGGGGCTCCTCCTCGCCCCTTTCCTCTCCTTCCTCCCTGCGCAATTCAGTGCTAACGACAGACAGAGCAGGCATGCAGGCAGTAGAGTTCCACCGTGGCCCAGAGCCAGGTGTTAGACCGGCACAGCACAAGGACACTGCCCGCACCAGAGGGCCCCAGCATGGAGCCAGAGCTCACGAAGGGTGGAGAGTCCATCCGCATGGGAGGTGGTGCAGTCTGCCTGTGTATCAGAACCCGAGCGATTTGAGGATGACTTCACGGGGCAAGGTGGTGTGATGTGTCATGTTAGAGCATGGGCAGGGTCAGAGGGCATTTCTGATGGAGGGGATGCTGGCAGAGATGAAACCGGTTATACTCAGAGCGACAATCAGGCAAGTAGATTTATTAAAAATACTTGGAGCCAGATTTGGAACTGTCAGAGAAGGGTTGGCAAGTCAGGAAAGGGAGAATGAGCCCTGTGATGTGGAATTGGAATCGCAGTTAGCGGTTTAGACCTGGTTTTAGTATTACACACAACCCAGTACAGATGTGCATGTGGAGGTGAACATGTATACGTGCACATACTCCCTAACCTGTGCCCTGAGCGAGCCGAGCAATTGCACTGCTGGTACCTCCAGCACCCAGAGGGCTCTAATTACTGTGCTGTAATAAAAGACACAGTTTCCCTAGGGAAATGGCTGTTTCCAGGGTGGGGACAGAAAAAGTACAAGATGAGCTAGCCAGGACATCTTGTTTTGCCAGAAAGTGAGGAAATTCACAAAGAATAATGGGGATGTGTCAAAAGGCCACAAAAGCCAGCTCCATGGTGCTACCGCTGGCCAAATCTGGAACAACTTGGAGCCGGTAGGTGGCATGGTGGTTAGGGTGCTGGACTCCTACATGATCGACTGTGCTTCGAGTCCGGAACCTGGTGGCTTGCTTTCTCACTTACTCTTTCTCTTTCTCTGGTCAAATTAAAAAATAATAATGATAAATAAAATTCTAAGAAAAATGTGGAACAACTTAAGCTTCAAAATCAATGATGATTGAAATATTAGAACCCATTAAATAAAACAGGAAACTGTAGTCCATACCAAAAAAAGTTAATAATTGAATAAATTAAAAGTTTAATGAGGAGGGACCATCAGTTAGCATAATGGCTATGTCGCTGGACTCCCACGTAGTTGACCACGGTTCGAGTCCCAGACCCGGTGACTTAAACTCACGCCGGGCTCATGTGCGTGTCCAAGATCCCAAGAGGAGAATGGAGGAGAAGGGATTGCAGCGTGACCATCCCCCCTGGAGGGTGATTTCTCGCTTTCTGTCTCTCCGTCTCTCTCTGTCTGGTGAGCACATGTGCCCTATAGCAAAAAACTCTCCAAAAAAAATTAAAAAGTTTAATGAGGAATAGGATATTTGTGCAGTTTCAAAGTACTTTCACACAAAATATGCAAGGATTATTAATAATATTACATGTGTTATCACATGATAATGACAAGTAACATAATTAACGTATATAGTAATTACAAAGGGAGAAGGAAGTACTTCACAGTGGCAGTGAGCCACATCAGAGATGGGAAAATGGAAAGTGTGTGCCATCTGACAGGACGAAGCCAAAAGAGCACAGCATCAGTCCTGTGACATTCCGTCAAAGGGGCATGACCTGAGCCCATTCAGAAGGAGACGCTTGACCAACCCACACTGAGGGACATTCCACAAGATAGCTGGCCCATCCTAACAGGTATGTGAAAAAGTCCTCAACCTCACTAACCATCAGAGAATCAGAGAAGCACAAATCAAGACCACAACTAGCTATTACTATCTAACTAGAATGATTATTATAAGAAAGACCAAAAAAAAAAAAAAAACCCACAAAGGCTGCCAAGGATGCGGGGAAAGGTGTACTCTTTTACACCCTTGCCAAGTCACTCTGTCCGGAGTGCTCCTCAAAAAATGAAAAATGAAAATAGAGCTGCCGTGTGACCCAGCAACCCCACTGCTAGAGACGCAGGGAAGGACGCACGGGGAGGCAGCCTGTTTGATTGAAAGAGAATGAGTTTTATAAAAAAAACCAAAAAAAAAAAAAAAACCCACAAAGGCTGCCAAGGATGCGGGGAAAGGTGTACTCTTTTACACCCTTGCCAAGTCACTCTGTCCGGAGTGCTCCTCAAAAAATGAAAAATGAAAATAGAGCTGCCGTGTGACCCAGCAACCCCACTGCTAGAGACGCAGGGAAGGACGCACGGGGAGGCAGCCTGTGGAGAGCAGGCTCCTGTGCTGCTGCAGCACCGTCCAGTAGCCTCAGCGCCCTCCAGCCGACAGGTGGGTAAGAGAAATGTGGGACATAGATCTAGATATATTGGAAGACTATTCGACCATTAAAAACAATGACATCCTGTTATTTGAGGCAACATGGACAAACCTGGAGACATATGCTAAGTGAAATAAGCCAGGCACAGAAAGAGAAGAAGTCCATGTATGAGTTCTTACTCATATGTGGAAACTAAAAACGTTGATCACATGTAATGACAGTAGAGGAGTGGTTATTAGAGGTAGGAAAGGGGAAGGGGATAGGGAAATAAGGAGATTTTGGTCGTTGGGTACAAATTTACAGTCAGATAGAAGGAATGAGTTCCAATGTTCTGGGTAGGGTAACTACTGTTAACAATAATTCATTATGTATTTGTTTTTGTACTTGTTAAAGACAGAGAGACAAGGACCAGCAGTTAGCGTAATGGCTATGTCGCTGAACTCCCATGTAGTTGACTGTGGTTCGAGTCCCGGATCCGTTGATTTAAACTCACACCGGGTGCATGTGAATGCATGCCCAAGATCCCGAGAGGAGAATGGAGGAGAAAGGGTTGTGACGTGGACATCCCCCCCTGCGGAGTGATTTCTCGATTTCTGTCTCTCT